ACGGAGTGGAAATATGTTACGTCATAATGAGCGCTATATCCACTGCGAGGAGGAAGCAAACAAAAGAAAGAGAGAGAAAAAAAAAGAACTATAAACGATGCCTTAGAAGACACAACCGATGAGTCGTTAAAACAGGTTCGTAAGTCTCGCGCCTTTGTCTTCCCAAATGAGAAACACAAGCTGAGCAGACGTACCTTTATCCCGTACTCTTTATTCTTTATAATTTCTGGTGCAAGATAAAAATCACTGCCACAGACAGAGCGACTTTTGACGACGGCTTGATTGGACGGGGTTATCTTAGCCAGTCCAAAGTCGGACAACACAACGCTCTTTATATTGTCCTTGGTTCGAAGTAAAATATTCTCTGGCTTTATATCTCTGTGCATAATCTTTAAAGAATTAATGTACTGAATCGTTTTTGTCAATTTGATGATGATAACCCTAGCCTCGGAGTGGGTGCAACTGCCGTTAATTTTTATATACTCGAAGAGGTTTCCTCCTTCGCAGTACTCCAGTATTAGCTTCACAATGTAGTATTCTGCGGAGGGTGTAAAAAGGGGGATGGCACAAATGGGCACAAAAGCACTAATAAATGCACTAACAAGATGACTCACACAAGCCCTCACACGGAGGCAAATTGCGTGTGCATTTTCCCATAATCCATATTTCGTTTTTTTTCTTCTTCCTTTTTGCTAACTTTTCCAAATTTTTTCGTGATAGTCCAGTATTTTAACAATATAGGGATGTTTGTTATTGATCGTTTTCATTATGAACAGCTCCCTCTTGAAGCAGTTGTAATGGGATGTTTTCTTCAAGGGGCAGCACATTAGCTGAGGAGGGAGAGAAGGGAATGTCCATTTGGGGGGATAAATTAACATAGAATAGAAAGATTTCCGATTAAAACAGACGCATTTCATCTGTTATCTAATAACGTTGCACTATGCCACGCTTAAACATGCTCGAGGAAGGAAACAAGCTTCTGCCTTTTTTTTTGCTTCCCGCTTTGGCCCTGTTTCCTACCTTCATGGCGCACTTTTTTTTATTTTCCCCTCTGCAACAAAACACCTTGGAGAAGTTACCGCTGCAAGGGAGGAGTGGAAACCGTGTGGCATACTCTTTGGGAACTTCGTGCGGGATTTACATACACTTAGAAGAAACATTCGCGGAAGAAAGAGTCACCAACGAGACAACACGGCAGTTGTACAGACACAGAACACACAGCCAGCATATGCATCGCGAATTCTTACTCTCCAATTTTGTTAATAATTTTGTATTTTTTTATAAACTCCAAATTTGAGTCGTGCTCCTCGTTTTTCTTCTGCCTCTTATTCTCGGATGAGTCATTTTTTACGTTTTTGTCTAAATGGGCCAGGCAAAATGGGGGTGCATAAAATATGTAAATGGGGTGTAAGACCAAAAAAAAGGGTAAAGAGACGGGTATTTAAACGAGGGGCCGGTTCTCGGTCGGTGGACGTCGCCACATGGGAAGCACCTCTCGGTTGATGCACCTCAGCTCATGCATCTCAGCGCACATATCGATGTGTTCCTCATATTTCTGCCATTACCCGAGTTGTTTTTCCTTTTACTTATCGTGGTCCCCATTTTTTATGCTTTCTCTTTCTTCTTTTAAAGGAATAAAATTTATTCATAATAAATTTGGAAAAAAAAAAAATAACTTAATTGAAAAAATACCAAAACATAATTGCTATAATTTCAATTTCTTCCATTTATAAAAAATAAGGTTGGATCCAAATGGGCTCGAGCCTCTTGTTTTATTTTTTTTTCGTTCTCCCCTTAATGTTTCCCACGGGACAGAGGGGAGAACAAAACAGGGAAAATAAAACAAAATAAAATAAAACACAATAAAATAAAATGCAATAGGGTAAAACTAAATAGAATAAAAAAAAAAACTACAGGGTATCACTCAAAGGAGTACACAAATTAGATCAGATCCGCCCTGTAGAAACAAAACAACGTTGTGGACTCGGTAGGGATGTAGCACTTAAAAAAATGGGGTGCACAGTGGGTTAGGCAGGAGATGGGCACACACGTAGCTGTGCCGAACATATTCGCTCGGGTATGGCAACGCTGCGCTAGCGATGCGATCCTTGTGTCTGGGGAGGAAGTCACCCAATACAGTGCATCACACATGAGAGATGCACATAAAACGGAAAAAACCAAAACGTGTGTAGGCTACTGAAATACTCTAACCCGGGTGATCAAAATGGTGTAGAAGGTGACATGTACATATACGCTGCAGTCGTAATAAACGGGAAGCCTTTTCGAGTACTAACTGGGCTCACAGCGCATATGGGCATGCGCATGCTTGTGCGCCTTTGCATATATACAAATAAAAACACAGAATATATGAAAAAAAAAGAATTTCCTACAATCTCCCACTCTCCCTTTTAGTTTAGTAATTCGCAACTACTAAACATCACAAAGACATGTAAATCCTTTTATATACACGGCACAAAAAAAAAAAATAAAAAAAAAGCAAAATGAATAAACGGGTCGAAGTATGCTCAGGGAAAAACATAGGATCGTCTAAGCTGGTGCAAATCCTGAAGGCACAAAAGAAGAACAAGAGCTATCACAATAAAACAACTGCAGGACGGGCAAAAAAGATACGCAAAAAAAAAAAAAGGAAAAAGGGAATAAGAATGAGAAAGAGAAAAAAATTAAATGTATAAGTTACTACTACTCAACGAGACGAAAACGGTGGAAAAAAAAAAAAAAGGCTTGTATGTGTAAACCCCCCTTGGACATGCATCCAATTTACCACGGTGCTGGCAAAGGTTTGCGCGTATTGGGATCCAATTTGGCAGGGGAGTATATGTGTATATAAGAGGAGTATGTAAAAATTTTCGTAAGTGCAGTGGTGTGATGGAGAGGCGTGGTGGTATTAAGATGTGCTGCGGAGGGGGAAGGTTCATGCAGACTGCGGAAAAAATAAATGTGATGTAGGGGGAAAAAAATAAACGTAAAGGGAGAAAAAAATTAACAGACGTGCTAAAAAAAGAAATGCGATGCAGTAGGAAATAAGTGCAAATCGCGCAATGGCTATTTGACTGCCGGTAATCGCGTGGAAATTGCCCAGGGATGAGAAATTCAATGCACAAAAAAGTTTCCAAGGGCGCTTTATTTTCCCTGCGGCCGTAAAAATTATATGTACGCAAGGGCGAATTACGCGTAATGGGAGAAGGATGATATGCTTAACTTCGGTTAGATGCTCTCCCGTGAAGCAGTGACGCTTTGGATTTAAGCGTTTAAAAAGGGTTGGGAGCTGTTCATCGCGTTTGTACGTTATGACGTAATCCACAAAGCTCTCGTCCGCCAGCCCCACGGAACGGCCAGAAAGCGCATATACGTATAGTCATTTATACGTATATATTTGCACATATTGTACATTTGGCGCATATTGTACATTTGGCGCATATCGTATATTTGGCCCATATTGTACATTTTGCGCATATTGTAAATTTGGCGCAGACGGTACGTTTGGCGCAAATTGTACATTTTTCTTTTACTTTTACTTTCCCTTTTTCATTTTCCTTTCCCTCGCCTTTCGTTGGTCTTCCTTTGACCCGCCCGCAAGTATATGGCGCGGCAAATGGATGAAACTATTTTACGTATATATCTTTGCTCCTTTTTTGGCTATATATACATATACACGTAAATTTGAAATTTCACAATCACTGGTTTTATATCTTCGCTTTTGACTAATATTAAATTAAGATTAATTACGTAAAAAAATTTATATGTAAAAAATTATAAAAGGGCGTTTTTTTTTTTTTTTTTTTCTGAGATATTATATCAATGCTGAGGAAGCGAGAGGGGGGCGTCGTTACGAGTTCCGCCGGGTTAGGTTAACCCGAGTATAAACCTAGTCATCCCAATGTGGAGCAAGTATAACTGTAGAAGTACATCCATAATATATATATGTACATTATGCGCTATATAAATATATATATGTAATATATGTATTATATGTATATAAAATATTCTTTACATGTACGCGAAACTTGACGAGGGGGCACATTGTGCCGGTGACCACTATATTATATGTACATAGGGAAAATATGTTCAGTTTGGGGGACAATTCATTTACACCAATTTTACCTGCACTGCGTGTGACCCGCTGGTTCATCTGCGTACCCTCTTACTTATTTATGCACACGCGCTAATTAGAGGTAAAAAAAAAAAAATTCCTCACGCGAGAGTTGTCGCATAAAAGGTAATAATTGCTTGCTAGAAAAATGCCAAGGGGGAAAAGAAGTGCGCCAAAAAAATTAGGCAGCACGTGGGGGTCACAAATATGTACAGGTGAGGTACAGCCTCACTAGCGGAGATATGTACAAGTAGTACATACACATATATATCTCTTACTATGTGCATGGGCGTATGTACGCGTTTATTTTTTTATATATTTACCCCCACACGTTTATTATATGAACCCACTCCCGCGTACATGTCATGTTTTCCGAAATCTGCCGCTTTTTCCCTTTTTTTCCCAAGACGAGAAACGCCCTTATAAAGTAACATGCCCCTAAACGGGGTAATTATAGAAAAAAACCTCCTGAGCTATGTGCCCCCCGTGGTGGTAGACCACTTCATCGGAGGGTAGTGAGTCCGTGGTGGTAGTGGAAGCAATGTGACTGCGGAGTACCATACTGCAGTGTGCCATCTTTTGTCTTACCTTTGTACTGGTTCTAGTGCCAAAGGGCGCAATCAGGAGATTGGGTGCTATTATATCCAGTTAGCGACTCTACTTGTGCTTGCTGCCACCATCTTTTGGCATAGGCAAAAGGGGGATAATAATTTGACAACATTTCTGAAGTACTCTCCTTGTGCACCTCTTCGTGAAGCTTTATGCATATATTTATCCCCCCCGGGGTGGCCACCCATAGGTAGGACTAGGGCCCCCCACCCACACATACACACATGCAAGCACCTCGGTGTATTGTATTAGGGGAGGCAAAAAAAAAGAGGCTAACGCGATGAACCAAATGATGGGGGACAATGTGGAGGAGCCCTTTTTCGGAGATGAGGAAGATGAAAATGTGTATGATGATTTCAACGCCGAGATTCACGTTAACAGGGGAACGAGTGGCAGTCCCGAAAATGACGCGCTCGTTGAAGATCCTAGCAGCAACGAGACGGAAAGTTCCACCTTCTCGCAATCCTTCAACGGGGATGACAACGATGGGGAGGACAATGATGCTAGTGAAAGCAGTCTCAAGGAGGGACAACAAAAGAGTAGTAAAAATCCATTAGAGGTGGAAAAAAAGAAGAAGAGGAAGAAGGAAAAAAAAAAAAAAAAAAGCGAATCGAAAAAGGGGAAAAAACAAAATGACATAAAATTAGCAGTTAAAATTGCACTGCAGGTGTTGCTAAGAAGTCAGCCCTTTCCAGTGAAGAGGGAAGATTTATTTTCCGTCATTAACATTTTTGTACCAAACTGTAACAACAATGTCAAAAAAAAAAAAATTATTTTGAACTTGTTACAAAAGAAGGTAAAAAATATTTTGGCGTTAAATTTGCTAACGCTGAATTCGAAAACGAAGACTGAATATGTATTAACACAATGTATAACATACAGAAAGCATAACGATTTTTTATTGTCCAATATGGATCATCGTATAAGGGGGTTCCTCATCTTCCTCATTCCATTTTTCAGTGTCTTTCATAATAAAATCCCCTTGAATTATTTACTCTACGAGTTAAATAATCTTGGACATAGCTTGTTAAAAACAAAAGAAAAAATGGTAAAAATTTTAAGCTCCCCAACAGTTCTTTCCACCATTGCTAACCATATTGTAATGACGAAGGAGCTGGCTGACGCTCTCGACTATTTAATATATGCCAAGAAATTGTCCTACATCGATTTCAGCAGTGACTATCAGTATGATGAGACCTCGTTGGATGGGTTTTACTGCATACCCACTCCTCGCTTTGAAAGCGAAGTTAACATGACGCAGTACATAACGGATCTGCTGCGTGTGCCCAATAAAACATTTGAGCTGAAGGACGTGTATGTCGTATTTGAGGAGAAGTACTTCTTGGACATTAACTACGACAATTTGTGAGGCGATGCCATCGTCGCGACAAGGATCTCTGCGGAAGCGAGGATGAGGACAGAGGGGACCTCCCCATGCAATGACCCCCAGTCCGTGTAGCAGTTATCGTCAGTCAGTATAGCTGGAACCTTTTTCCTCGTCTCCCCACGAAATGGACCGCCGCAACAATCGTAATACATAAAGAGGAAAATTTCAAAAAAAATATGCGCACAATTTTTTCACCCAAATGTGAAATAAAATGGAGTTAAAAAAAAAAAAAAAAAACGGGGGGGGGGGAAAAAAAAAAAAAAAAAAAAAAAAAAAAAAAAAAAAAAAAAGAAAAGGGGGGACGGGGGGGGGGGGCACATGAGAGATAATGTCTACGGGAACGAAACAAAAAAAATAAAATTTCACCTTATAAATTAAATGGGTAAAAAATAAATCGGGTGTTTATTATTCTCCCCTTATGATAAAGTTGGGGCACATCCAGAAGGGTGTTCATCTGGCGGTCACATGTACGTACATCGCTTGTGCGCGAAGGAAAATTGGAACACATATGCTGACATGCGGGTAAATGGTGCCAAGGGGACCTTCAAAAAATAACGGAAGAAAAAAAAAAAAAAAACTTAAAAAGTGCGTTCCCTCTTGTTTACCCTGCCAGTGCGGAATTTGTTGTCTACCTGCCATTTATTTGGTCTTTCAGACCATCCATCTGGTGTCAGTGTGTGATCTACTTTGTTTATGTAGACCAACTTTTGTTCTTTTTTTTTTTTTTTTTCTCGTTTTTGTGTAAGGACGCTACCGCTTCTATGTGTGAAACGGTGAGGCAATCTCAAATCATCCCACAGGAGAAACGAAACAAATAGAGTTCCTTCCCCCCCACCGCTACTCTGCTTTGTCCTCTTTTATAAGAAAATTTTTTAACTCATTCCACAATTTCATTCGTTCTTCGCCCTCCAAGCTGCCATCCAATTTTGCCGAATGAATTTTTTTATCACAAAAGTACCAGAGGCTATAAATTTCATTTCCATCTGAGAAAGGAAAGCCGTTTTTGTCCTTTATATTTATTGGAGGTCCCATTTCAAGTAAGTTTTTTTGTTCCCTCTGGCATTCTGACTTTTGCACATTATTTATATATTTATGGTACTGCGTTTGTATTAATATGCCTGTGCAGTTCTGACAGAACATGCTTGGGTGCCACTCGCTAAATTGGCTTGTTTTATATTCGATGTAGTTACTTTCGTCTATGTCATCATAGCAAATTAGACATGCTAGATTTTCTGGTACCGCTTCTGCGTGCTTCTCTTGCTTTGTCACCTCCGCATGGTTTAGTGACGCGTCGTTACAGGGACGGTTTCCTTTTTCCCCATTCATACTTTTTTTTGTTATTATTTTGGCTAGTTGTTGTGCTAGTTGGGTGTGTCCTCTGGGTAATACGTGTCCGCGGGGTATGTCTGTCCACGCAGCTGATCTGCCGTCTGATGTTCTACTATCTGTGGGGGAAATACCTTCACGTGTTTTTATATCTTGGATAACCACGAATGTGCACACGTATAGGTAAAAACGTACCCCCGTATTTGTGTTTCTCTAACTTCGGGGGCTCGTGCTTTAGCCGCACTAAGGTGGTAAAAATGCCAAAACGGCTGCACCGGGAATGCGCAGGTTTGGGACAATTGCGTGGATAGACGCGGGGATGGTTACGTGATTCACATTATGCCTATCGGTATAGCCGTAGACTGCCACGACAAGGATAAACGCTTCTCCACGTTCGCAGGGGGCGCCTAGGAATGAGCAAGCCTGAATTGTACACATACACGGGGACGCAAAAAATTGCTGCTACAAAGAAATGCTCTGAACTGTTCACGCCAGTGTGGCCAAACGGGGGAGTTCGTCCCTTCGCCTGAAATGAAGAATTACCGTTTTGCTAAATTTGCGCAAAAGGGTGTGGGGAAGCGGACGAGTGGAGGGGCAACTGTGGGGCGGCAATTGGAGAGGCCAACACGGAATAAGAAAAAAAAAAATTATAGCAATAATAAGAATTATAAAAATGAGAAATGTAACATAAAAAATTACAGCGAAAGAAACTCCATTTGGGGAAACTCCAATTGGAAAAGTTCCCATTAGAAAAATTTTTATGTCAAAAGGGAGGTGCAGTTTTTTTTTCTTCTTTTTTTGTTCTTTTCTAATGGAAAACTGTTCCCATGTCACCTTGCCGCTTCCGTGCTCACTTCAATTTTGCTTGAAAAAAATTTAAAACATGGCCATGTATATAAGTTCATATTATCCATGTATGTATAGCTTATATACAAGTGGAAGGACGATTTTACTGGCGTGATACGAGCGTCTTGACCAATATCGCGTGAGTTTCTCTTTTGTTGCTCAGGGGGCGCGATTTGTCAGTATGACGGTTTGTTGTTTTGTAGATTCGGGCAGGCGTAACATTTGAGAGAAGCGAAGAAAGTACCTCCGCGGGGTTGATGCGCACTTGTATGTATTATTTATATATGTATCTATGTATTTATGTATATTTCTATATAGCTATACCTACTGTGAATCGCACGTGTTTTTTCACTCCGCCCTGACTGAGGCGAAGGTAGCGTGCTCCCCCACCCCATAAGAAGGTAGTATATTTCCCCACCTCGGACAGTGATGGAGCACTGCAGCAAGCGGATTGAAGAGCTTCTCATGGGAAAGGGTGGGAATGTCCAACTGCCCAAGAACGAAAACGACTACTTAATAAGGCAGTTACTAAAAAATGTGATCGAAATTGTGAAACTGACTAACAGACTCTCCACAAATTGTCTCTACGAGAGCAGAGTAGATGTCATGTCCAACGATGAGCAAGTTAAGAAGCTTCAAATCGATTTACTAAGAACGGTGAAGGACTTGTTACTATACAGCTCTAGTGAAAGAACAAAAAGTTCTCTTACGTGGGAGCTTGACGGTGAGCACTTTATCCTAGGTAATAATTATCATATCATATCGAACACGCTGGATGAAATCTTCACCAGGACGAAGGACTGCTTTCGATTTTTTCATCTTAAAGATAAGGAGGCCTCAATGTTGGCGTGTAAAAGTAGCAGAGTTGAGGAGAATTTCCCCCCCGAGTTTGCTTCTTCCTCAAGGGAGTATCTCCCCCAAAGGGAGGGAAGAGAGTCAGCAGATAGTGATTCAGAGGAGAAAGAAGATGAAAATCCGAAGGGGAGAACCAACCCAGATAGTAACCAAAAGTATAAGAGGAATAAAGATCCCAATTTCCACGCCCAAACGGGTGAAGAGGAAGGAAGAGATAACACCTTTCAGCTAATCTTCCAGTCAAACATCTTGCACATTCAGAGCGAATCGGACGAGAGTTCCACAGAGAAGACAAATGAAAAAAAAACAAAAAAGGAAATGAGCAAAAATAGGAAAAGAAGGAGGCAATCCAAGAGAAAAGGGAACAGTGAAGAGAACCCCCAAATGATGGATAGTTTCTCCCCATTTAGGAATAGATCGAAAAAAATACAGTACGCCTGGTTACACCTGATTAACAATTATGTTACCTTCTTCATCCCCCGTCTAACTGTGAAGCATAACAGACTTGCTGATCTGGAGAGATGCTTTCTCGAAGCAGTCAGGTGCCTGCAGAGCTACATCCAGAAGAAGAGGAAAGTTCTTCAATATAGGGAACTTTTTAACGGCAATAAGCTCAAGCATATAAGTCGTGGGGATATTCTCGAAGAGATATTTCAAGAGGACGAGCTGGGAGACGCATCTGGGGGCACGATGGAAGAGGTGAAGACATCCCACTCGTGCAGCAGCTCGGGGGACTCCTCGGAAGAGCTTACTGTCCCCCCAGAACGGCTTACCTCCCCCCCGGATGAGGATTTTTTTTGGAAGATGCTAAAAAGGCTAGATAAGGATATAAATAAGTATGGCCCCAAATTTAGCAAGCTGGGCCATCCGTACAGTTACGAAATAAATGACATGATTAATCGGTATCACGAATGGGATGAAAGTGTGTCTCCCTTCGTGAAAATAACCCCTCAACTGCACAAACCGGTGCCGTTAAGCGAGAAGGAGTGCAAAATGATTAGCACTGAAGGGGATCTTCTCGAAATGGTGCATACTATTAAAGAAATGTGTACTAAAGTGTCCCTCTCCCTTGTGGTGAATTATAAGAACACCTACCGAGGTTTCACGTCCCTAATTCTAGTGGGAACACAACAGTGCGATTACATCATTGATGCACTGAACATGTTTGAGAAGATGCATGAGCTGAACGAGGTTACTACAGATCCGAATATCCTCAAAATTGTGTACAAGTCGAAAAATGTCATACCAGTAATGCAGAAGGATTTCTCGATCTACTTTGTTAACATTATTGACATTTCTGTTTGTTCGGATTTTCTGAACGTGAGAAACTCCTTACCCTATCTAGTGCACAATTACTTCCATGTCAGTGTCAATTCTCCTGGTCATGGATTAAATGCTCTCACAAGACCGTTGTCTCCTGACTTGGTTCATAATTTGAGGATGCCTTTCCACTATCTGTACTACCTCTTCGAGTACGTCAAAACGGATTTGTATTTCAACTACATATTTGCGCAATACCGGCGGGGGGGAGGCGAATGTAACATGGGCGAGATGGACAAGAAGGACGAGAAGGACGCGAGGGGTGCGATGGATGAGATGGACTCGATAGACCCCCTGGACGCGATGGACACGCTGCAACGGCTGCTCGATCAAGACGGTCCCCCCCGAAGCAACGTGTACGTACACTTCGAAAATATAAAATTCGAAGATGCATCGGAAGAGGAACAAAAATATGGAGAAGAAATTATCAGGAAGGTATTCAGAGAGAGCAATAAGATGTGCCTTCTGGAGTATAAGGTAAAAGACGTGTGTGATGTGGAAAAGACAAAAGAAAAAATCAAAAAGATTATAAAAACGTCCTATTATCACTACACCAGTTGTGATCCCTTAATAGAAAATATATTAGTGTGGAGAGAAAAGCTAGCCAAGAAAAATGACGAATCTCCGGATAGCATAATTAACATCCACACCATAATTTCCATTATTCTAAATATGCCTACTTCGATTTCAAGCTTAAAGAATAATATCATTCCCATGTCTAATCACATTTCCGAAAATCTGGAGACACTCTTTGAGATAATTATCAAATCGAATATGAAAAAAAAAACCAATCCACAATTTTATCGAAATTTTATTCAAAATGAGAAGGCGAACATTTGTGACTGCAACAGTGAACAGGAATTCAATTCCGTGGAACGCCCCTTCCCTAGGGAGGCACAAAGAGGCGTAGGTGGAGAGCAGGTGGAGGGGGCAGACGAAGCGAAGGGAGTCCTCATTGCCCCCCCCAGGATGCACTTTCAGAGCATTTCGGAGGGGGCCCCACGTGAGGCGCATCCTCCCAATGGTGGTGAAGACGGCGATGACGATAGCAATGGTGTTGGTGATAGGGATGGCGATGACGTTGCCAATGGTGTTGGTGATAGGGATGGCGATGACGTTGCCAATGGTGTTGGTGATAGGGATGGCGATGACGTTGGCAATGACGTTGGCGATGACCCTTGCTCTGCCCCACGTAGACCCTGCGATGGATGCGGTAACGAAAAGGAGGCGAGCGCAGAGGGAGAAGCCCCCACAGTCAGTGCGACTGATCAGACCTTCACCCTGGAAAGAACATTCTTTGGTAACGACGAAAATGACGAGGAGCCCAGCAAGGAACGTAAAACCCCTGTCAGCAAAGACGGGAAATATGAAAACTACGCTTTGCTGTCGTCCCTACTTAGCTACGTCAAAGAGAAGAACCAGAAAAGGTGTAAAACTTCTGAGCATCGAGAGAAGGAAGAAAATGTGAAGACGGAAGAAGACGGGGTACAAATGGAGAAGCAGAGGACCACTTACCAAAGTGTGAAAACGCAACTACCCCACGACGTTGCTAACAACCCTTGTGGCAAAAAAAAAATTAAACAAATACAACACCAGTCGTACAACCAGCAGTATAACATAAAGAAAAGAAAGGGGCTGTACTCTCAAAATATTTTAAGCGAAATGAACAAAAAGTGGAATGGCTAATAGGTCAAGCAGTTCGAAGATGGACTGGTCAGAAAAGATGGCATAGGAGAATGGGAAAAAAGAAGAAAACATAAAACATAATTTGATAAGTATACTTGCTTCCAATGTGAAGTGGCTTCTTTGCCTTTTTTTGTCCGCACACTTACCAAGAGTATTCGTTTCCCTGTTCATTCGTGTGTGCTCGAGTACATTCTTGCGTATGTTCCATTTGGGTGTCTTACTTACACCATTGCGTGCACATTCAGGAACACTTCGGTAAATCACTCGGGGAAAACGCTCCATTGTGGTGGTTCCAAATACGCATCATCTGTTAGCATGACAGAAAAAAACGTCGTTCACTCCTGCATGGAATACACTGTTGGGAGTATCCCCACGTGATGAATTCTTCCATTTGTGCCCCTAAACATGTGAACAGGACGTTTGGAGCTGTCTGTGCAAGGTTTTTTGCTAGTAATTTTTTATTGCCTATGCTTTGGTACTACGTTTTTTTCTTCTTTTACCCCTCCCATAATACATAAAAGAATGGCGCATGAAAAATTGCTTTTTTTCCCTTTTATTTGAGAATAACATTTTCTTTTTTTTCCGTTTTGTTTTGTTGCAAAATTGGCGTCCAATGAACAGAAACCAACGAAAGTCTAAAACGCGGGACTCCTATTTTGTCTGTCAATTTGAACGCTTTTAGGAGGGGCAAATGCGGAGGTGTATGCCGATCGTCGAGCTAAGTGCAGTGCAACGGAAAAAGGCAGGAATGCACTGGCGCCATGGCGCATTTGTCCAACCGCCCAGAAGCGCGAGCATGAAAGAGTATAATTCAGCAGTTCCCCTATTGACTAGTTAAGCAAATGAACAAAGGGATGCATGAAAAAATCCCCCCCGAATTGAAACACAATTTTACAATCGCATGTACAGCCCAGAAAATTCACTCGCCATTCAGTAGTGGGCAGTATTGAATACGTCACTCCCCTCCACCCATTTTGTAAATTCCCCCTCATTTTAAAGTGCAGAAATGGCCCCAATTTGGTGAAGTCTGACTTGTCTGATTTTTTCTTTTTTTTTTTTCCACCAGAAGAAATTGGAAAGCATCACATGCAAAATACTTATTTTATTGTTTATGCCAGGTTTCACCTTTTAAAAGGAGTGAAAAAGGAAGTTCTTGCAAAAACGACTTTCTCTTTATTCGTGGGAAAAAAGGAGGGACAACGCAGATTTACCTGCCGTGAAATGGGACTAGCTAAACTGTTCTTCTTCCCTTTTTTGTGAACAGGTAAAGTAAAAACGCAAATACACATAACATTTTTAACAATTTTATATGAACAATTTTAAGAAAAAAAAATGGCTAGCACTCCAGCGAAAAGTGGAGAAGCTGGGGAAAACGAAGCAGAAATGGGAACAGTAAACAAGAGTAACAACCCGAAACCTGACTTAAGCAATGATGAAAGTTACAGGAAGTTGAAGGAAGACAAGAAGAGGTTGAAGAAGGAGTTGTTAATTAAGGACAGTGAAATAAACAGCTTAAGGAAACTACTGGAAGAAAGAGACAAGGACACGAAAGTAAATTATATTCCACTGAGTGAAGCTAGGAAAATTACATATAAAGCATTACGAAAAGGATCAGCGGCACAGAAATTCATCTACCTAATAGAAAGTAACAGTATCAATTACAAATTAAAAAAGAAGGCCATCAACCAGCTGGTACTTAACGCATTCGGAGTTATGCATCACCAGAAGAATAGGTATCCTGAAATTCTCAAGTATACCGACTCCCATTTGAAATTATTTAGGCAGGAGCAATTAATTCTGTTGGCAGAAAATGAAAGGTTAACATTACAAATGAAGGAACTAAAAAAACAGCTTCTGGATAACAAAATTGACATTTTAAAAAAAAATGAAAAAAATTTAATAATGTCTATGAGGAAGGGTATGAAACAAATACCATCCGCCGCGGGAGAAGCGGGGCCAAGCGGAACACTCGCGGACCATGATGAGGAGAACTACGTAGAACTGGACGCAGATGTTGTGGAAAAAAATTTCATAAATTTAATAAAAAATTTTAAAATCGCACAATTAAAGTTACTATTCTACGCATTTAGAAAGTTAAGCAACAATTTATATTACAATAATTACCCTGTGAATTTTAGTACGAGCTTGAGTTCTTCGCTTAAACGGGGTGTAGACATTCTGAGCAACATGATGAGGTATAAAAAGCGTGCCTCTACATGTGCGGCATTTTATAAATTGCAAACTCATAACGATAAGAGTTTTGTTTATAACAATAGGAGGTATTCCGAACAAAGACACATGAACCGATTTGCTAATCCAAGTTGTCTCATACAAAATAGTAAAAAGATTGGGGAGGGAATTTCCAACTATGTCTTTAAGCCCTACTACTATGACAACTTGCCTAGCGCTACATTCGACAAGGAAAGGAAGAAATACTCTTTGCAAAGATTAAAAAAGAATTGTATAATGAAGAACTTACCTACGAATGAGGATAACCAATATCGCGTTAGTCGCGTTAGCAATGCGGAATGCGAAACCATTTTTGATCCTTTTTCGCGTGGACATCCGATGAATGCATCCAATGCCGACAGGAATGAGCGTAGCCATGCGGATAACACCAACGGGACTAATCGAACAAATTACAAAAACAGCTACTTCGGTTTAGGGATAAATAAAAACCATAATGACGATTTTGAGAAGCGCACCTGCTCCAGCAATTTGGACTTTGACTACCTTGCAGAATTTAGTAACTACGACAGAGAAAAGTTCATTGACATGTTCATATCGGAGACGTTCAAGAGGTGACCCAGCCGGAGGAGAAAATGGAATAGTACAGCATCTGAATGGGAACATATAATCGCACGTAATGTATACTCATGTGGGTGCATATCTATATGCCATCTCCCCCTGCAGATATACACCCTCCCTGTGTGACGTTAAGAAGGTACTATTCCATGTCCATTAATTAAATGGGGAAAGGTGGAACCCTATATGTGCGCCGCTATTTTCGGGGCTGTCCGTTTCCGTTTCCCGCGGAATAGCGTCTTGTTGAATTTTTTTAAAAAATGGGGAACTTCGTCATTGCGCTATTTAGGGTAGTCTTCCCCAGGGGATGGCGTTTTCGGTTGATGTGATTCCCTCCAAAACTGCCTCTCTGCTCCCCCCCATACGTTCCACAGACGGTACTTTTCGCCGCGCAGCATTAGTAGACAGGTACGTGCATAACTTGTGTCGCTTTTTTTGTCCGTGCTGTAGTTCTTTTCACCTAGGGGGTAGCCATCATTAGAACATTTCGGTTGGCAGCCCTCTGGTTTGTGTCGTTTTGCAGCCCTTTGGTTTGTGTCGTTTTGCATCCCTTTGGTTTGTTTCGTTTTGCAGCCCTCTGGTTTGTGTCGTTTTGCAGCCCTCTGGTTTGTTTCGTTTTGCAGCCCTCTGGTTTGTTTCGTTTTGTTCATTTCTTCTTGCCAAGTTAATAAGGAAGACGGCGCCACAAAGAAACCGAAAGGGGGTGTCATATGTGCACACAGGAGGCCGCCTACAAAGTCAGTCGCTTGTTCGTGCGGGCCACTCACACGAGAGACGTAGTTCCCCAGATTTCCCGTTGCATTCTCACAATTTCTTACACAATTAAAAATTGGAACTTTTTTTTTTTCTTTTTATTCCAATAGTTGTTCATTTGAATGAATAATTAAATTACGCTAAAATTTTTAGTTTTATTTTTGAGACTTGTCAAAAAAAAGTAAAGACGTGGTCATAAAAAAAGGGGGCATTTGGCACATCTACGCGACAGCTAGGGTGCAGCAAAACAGCCTCAATAAGTGGCAGAACAGTGAGTAATAATAAATAGGGCAAAATAAATGGGAAGGGGGTGCGACATACCCAGGAACAAGTGAATGTCTTATCTGACGTATGGTGTAAAAAATGCTAAATTTCAAAATAAAAAAAAAAATTGTAAAAATATTGATAAATATTTCAGGGGTGATGAAAATATATCAGATGAAGAATGTCTGCATGTTGCAAATAAACAAGCGTAGGGATTAAAATTTTTATAACTAGACGTTCGTCTACAAGCATTGGGTGTGCGTCTCGTGTGACATACGCAGACGCACATGTCCTGGGAGGGTAATCAAAAAACAACTCTTTTCACATGTGCATGCATTTTAACACTTTTTAAAAATGTGCCCTCCCCTTTTGGTGCTGAATTTAAAAATGAGTGAATGGGTGGATGGGGGCCAAAAGAAAAAAGCGAAAAAAATGGAAAAAACGTCAAAAAAATGTGGAAAAAATGGGCGTAATAACAATATACGTTTTAATATTTACGCATGTGCATATAAAGTGTATGCTCATGGTGGGGAGCTTGCGCTTTTACGCCCTTGCGGGGGGTAGTGCCTGGTGGTTGCTCCTGCCGTGACGCGCCGTTCGCGCGCTTTGGGGGTAAACGATGATCGAAGTAAAAACAAAACAAAAAAAATAGCAAAAAGGGGAAGAATGGAAAAAAATGGAAAAAAATAAAGAATAAATATAAACAATAAAAAAAACGCGTCCGCTGGGGACAACATGTCTGCCACTTAACCGCTTCTTCGCTTCACCGCTCCACGGCGCAGCTCACAGTTTGTCCAGATAAAACAGCTGGTCCTTCAAAGCCATGTGACTAGGCAGCTTGCTGTTTTTTATACACTCGCTAAATAACTCCAGGTAGGGTTCCAATTCGTTAATGTGTTTGGTAAATTTGGCACTTTTCAAACATAAGCGCAAGGAGTTGGTGTACCTTTCTCTTTTCTCTATCCCTACGGGTATTTTCGGGATGACGTTTTTTTTTAGATCCTGAAGAATTAATGACAAGGCTTCCCTTGTAAGGTCAATAAAATTTGCCTTATATTCATCTGGGTTCTGGCTACAATAATCAGAGTAGCAGTCGTTAGAAAAAACGAAGTCATACTCTGTTTCGTTGTTTGTGGGTTGGTTATTTGGTTGTTTACACACATTGTTATCGCTGTAGTCGTAGTTAATTGGCTTTATGAGGTAGGAATTCTCGTTGGTTTTTTCGGGGGAATCAAACTGGAAATCCTTGTCCGTTATGATGCACGTGCTGTTCTTCAATCGCGTGTCTTGGCTCGAGCGTGTGTTGTGCTGAGTACGGCCGCTTGGAGTGTTTTGCTGGTTCGGCTGGGCGCTATGGTAAGCACTACGATAGCTGCTATCATAACCGTTGTTGTAACCCTCATTGGGAGTGCCATGTTGGTAGTTCTGGGTGGTGCCTGGGCGGGCATTCAGGCTATGCACATGTTGGAAATCGTCGTGGCTGTTTTGGTCACCCTGCCCATTCTGCCCCTTCTGCGCAAACTGCACAGCGTGCACACTGCTGTTGCGCGTGTTGCGTGTCTTCTGCGTGTTGTGCGTATTGTGTGGGTTATGTATGCTGTGCGTGGCATGACTGCTTGGCCTATTGTGGTCATGACGGCTACTACTCTCGTGGTAGGCCGAAGCAGAAATGGCAGCGGGGTCACCACCAGTACCGCCACCATCGCCATCTCCCTTGTCTTTCCTAACCAGATAACTGAACTTATCCTCTGTAGTTTTTTTCTTCTTTCTGTTATCCCCTTGGTGACTGTCTAGTGTCTCCACAAGCGTGTTACTTCGTCGCTTCCCATTTTGTGGCTGCACCGACTTGTTCCTGTCTGCTTTGTAAGACTTCACCTCATCACGGGTTAAGCTGTTGCTGCTGTACCTCTCCGCTGTGGCAGGGTAGTTACGGCTTCCACGATTGGTTAGATTATAACTAGAAGTTTCTGTGTTGTGAAGGCTTTGTCCATTGGATTGCTTCCCTTTGGAAATGCTGTTGCTTCCTGCCCCCTTCCTCATATTAGTCTTAGCCTTGGAGACCTTGGATATGGTTACTCCTCTGAGGCTGTTACTTCCTCCCTTGGAGCTTCCGCCACTCCCTTTGGAGCTGCTGCTATTACGCTTGATATTATTGTAATTTCTTCCCTTTGTGATGGTACCCCCTTTTAGCTTTAAATTTCCCTTGGTATTATAATGCCCCCTCGCATTGTATGCTCGGGAGGTGGGTGGAGTGACACTGGAATTGTTGCTCCCTTTGTAAAAAGAAGCATCTTCCTCCTTGATCTCATTCTTTTCTTCTTTCTTATTTAACTCTTCCACGGATTTATTTTTAACCTTTCTTGTGTTGTAACGCCTTTTTCGGCTGGGTCCCTCTTCCGCTCCGTTGGCGCTTGCACTTGCGCTAATACTAGCATTTGTAACTCCACTGGCATTCTCGCTATTCATGGTGACTAAACTTCCTACATCGATGGACTCTTGTGCTTCCAGCTTTGTGTGATTAGTTCGACCTGCTTCATTGTAGGTGTATGTTCTGGTTCTTCCGCTGACGTGGTTGTTCGTCTCATTTTTAAGTTTCGCGTATACACCATTCCTTTGCACGAGAGTGATCTCCGCGTCGTTTCCGTTGCTGCTAGGGTGGGAGTCGTTTTGATTAGGCGCTCCGTTAGCTTCCCCGTTAGAGGCCCCGTTAGAGGACCCGTTAGCTTCTCTATTCGCAGCCCCGTTTGCTTCCCTTTTGGCGGTCCCGTTTGGCAGCTGGTTAAAATTAATGAGGGCTGAATTTTTACACTCAACGGCTAGCATTCTGGCTTTCTTAAATCCATGTTTCTTCACCGAAAAAACACGAAGGTGTCTGCCACTCCCTTTGACACAAGCTAGCCAACACTTCGTTCTGGCATTATACCAAACGCCCTTGTTTTTGGTGTTGTCTTCATTTGCGTCGTACTCTTCGGATTTCTTCTCATCTGTTCCTTTGTCGTTCACCGGATTTTTTACTGCACTATTGGGAGGGCTCTCTACAAAGAGAAGGGGGGGAGGGGAGTGAAGGAAAAAGATACTGTATGAGACGTGGGGGGGAAAAAAAAAGAAGGAGCTTCGAGTATGATGAACACAATTGGAGAGGCTCCTCTGGTGATCATCCAAGAAGACATGTCTACCCGAGCAGATGCGCATGCGAGATTCTTGATGTAACTACACAAGAGCACAATTACCTTTCTGCGTCCCAGCAGCGTCTGCGTTCTCGTCGCTATTGATCATTATCACTGAGGGGAATTGCTAATATGTGATCTTTCTTGTATAATTACTCATATGGAGATGGCGTCACACGGAACTGCAACCAAGTAGACACGTGTGAAGCGGCGCGGGCGAGTGCATACAAGTGTGTGGGCTGTTAGACGAGGAGCGAAAATGGGGAAGAGGTGGCAAAAGAAACAACGCCAATTAGCTGCCACCTTGCAACCCTTAGGGCACCGAGTAGAATAACCCAGATGGAGGGAAACTCTATATGTCTGCGTGGCGACGTCGACATGCAAATAGACGTGCGCAAAGAAATGCCACGACAAAGGGACGTGTAGAACTGTGAGCCCTACACAGGTATGTATACATATGCCTATGTATATGCAGAAGTACACCTATATAAATGTACAGGCATACAGACGTAGACGTATAGAAATGGAAATGCATAGAAATGTATATACATACAAACGAGAGGAACGTGTTTTTGTTTACAGAGCGTCCTCTTCCCAGATGGCCACGTCGGAGAGTCGATGCTTCGTGAACTTGCGTCTAGGAAGCTACTAACATCCCCCCGTTCCGTGAGCCTAGTAAGTTCATGAAAAAAAAGAAAAGAGATTCCCCCCGTTGCGAAGGAACAACCAAACTAAGCCAAATAAAAACCGAACAAAACGAAGTAACACAGTCAGGTGTGGGGGGCAGACGCGCGTGAGCACTCACAAGGCATGCAGACATACACAAATATATCAATGTATATGTTTATATATATCTTTACACTGCTACCCGTACGTGGTGCACAAATAAACAATTGACACAAGGGCGCGTTCGCACGTGTATGCACAAACGTACAGGTAGGCACATACTTAACACGTGCATGTATTCTTACAAACATGCGAGGGGGCCCAGTCTTCGCGCAAAAGAAAAAAAAAGAACAGGTGATGAAACGAACAGAGTAGTTAATTTAAAAGGGGCTATTAATAGATATGCCGGGTGGGGAAAACAGGGCTGAAAGCGGAAAAAATAAAATAATAAAATAGTAAAAGTGATGAAATATGGCGAAAATGGTGAAAACGGTAAAAAGGGAAAAAATAATAATAGTGTTAAAAATGCTAAGTGCTGTAAAAATCGTGAAACAATGGAAGAAGCTTCTCGCGCAGAACGTAAAGAATAAAGAATAAAAAAGAAAAAAAAAAAATAAGAAAAAAAAAAAAAAAAAAAAAAAAAACACTACTAATGATGGTAGCACGTTCGATCCAAATAACCTCAGTCGCCGCTTTCCGTTTTTTTTTTTCTTAACTCTTAAAAAAAATGAATGGTAATGGTAATGTTTTGGTTGCGCGTACAAGAGTGCCACGTGAGGCAGTATGCATGCGTATACTCATGGACATATACACGGATGCACTTTTAAACGTATGTACTGTACCTGTGTACGCAACCTACGTGTGAATGTTAACTTCACATTCGTGCAGTGTTACGCGAATGAGAACTGGTCGGAAAAATGATAGATTCGCCTACAGTGGGGGAGTGAAAAGAAAGGGGAAAATAAGTAATAGGAAGGCGAGGTAGCAGTGAATTGGTGAAGAATTGGTGAAACAGTGGCACCAAAGCGAGGGTAAAACGACGAAATGGTACTAAGGTGGAAATAAACTAGTAAGAAAATTAGTAAAAAAAATTAGTAAAAAGTGGGAATAAATTAGTGAAGAAGCATGGATCAAAAAAAGAAAAAAAAATAATAATAGTAATGATGATAGTAATTATGATAATGCTAAAATGGCAAAATAGCAGTGGCAATTATCCCAACGAACAATGGCAAACTCGCATGATAAAATAAACAAAGGAACTATGAAAAAAAATAAAATACATCAGAAGGAACGATAAAGAAAAGGTGTGAAAAAAAAAAACAGAATTGATGATATAATAATGTGATGAACACATTATAAAGAATAGGGGTAACATATGGGGGGCGAAAAAAAAAAAAAAAAAACCTATGTATATTTTGTTATGCACGTATGTAACCTTTGCCTACGTCCCTCTTCATATATATATGCCCATTCGTGCCGTATCGGTGCCGCGGGGGTAACTGCGCACAAAGGGGTACAGCTTGGAGATGCTCGGCGGTGTATACATGTGTTATATGTAGGGGAGTAACGCAGCTACAGTCTCGTGTACTTGCACACAGATACACAAGTGGCACGTGGGGAAATGATTTAATTATTGACTGCTCGGCAAAATACACAAACGCTCTGAGATATTCGCCGAACAATTGGGGTGGTGATGCAGTGGGGACAGAAGGAAAATGTAAATTTCGCGCAAACGCGACGTGAACGTACTACAAGTGTTATACGTCAATAAAATTACTCACAAAAATGTAGCAACGTGGGACTAGGCATAAAATTATAAAAATAAATAATGCTAATGTGAAAAAAAAGAAGTGTAAAAAATTTACCACAGCGCCAACACCAAAATGCAATGCTTCGCAAAGTGCAAGATTACACCTACCTGGTTCTACGAAGATAAGCACTTTTCGAGAGTACCTCCGCGGGGACAAGAATATATACATATGAGTTCCCCCCTATGGCCATGTCACGTAATGACTACAATTTTGTACCCCCACAGAGACAATATAGAAGCACACATATCACATATAGTCATGCATACATCCCTGCGCGCACTTTTTCCCAGCGGTTACTAGAAAGTTCCCTCCATTCAAAGTAGAACAAAATTAATAACGCATAAAAAAAAGCATATACTTCCAGGGGACGTACAAAATTTTTCTAATATTTAGCTATAACGATACCACGGTGAGAAGTGTACCACCCCTGTGTCAGGTCAATTTAGTTAAATTTAGCATGTACTACTCTCATCAGCCCACTAAAAGGAAAAATTATATAAAAAGAAAAAAAAAAAGAAGAAATGACTCACTTCGATAAATTAGCAAAATGGAGGAGGTGAACACAGTGTAACAATAATGAAAAGGTAGTAGAAACACGCTAAAAAAAAAAATATATATTAATAAGAATGGTGAGAGGCGTAAAAATAATTATAGCGTAGGAAAAAAAAAAAAAAAAAAAAAAAAAATAAAACAGGCAACCTCGATATTCTTGTGCTAATGCTAACAAAACGGCAAGGACGTAACTGAAACCATGCGCGCATGTGCGGCATTACGTGGGCGCAAGCAATTGGTACGCAAGGATACGCACGTGTATAAATGGCATGTACACATATATAATATATAAATAATATATACATATAAACGCAAAGAAAAAGGCGGCAAGACGTTGTGTGAAAAGGAAACACCCCCTTCCCACCTCTACTATGTGCAAAGACACAAGGAAGATTCTAAGGGTAGTAATGCAGTTACGTTAAAGCAGCCACGACTATATGCTTACCCGTTGTACGTGAATACACTTATTGGTGATGGTGCATTGGTACCCCCGCAGAGGCTCTCCAGTGAAGCGTGTTCATACAGTTAAATACGTAATAAAACGCAGAGGTGAACAGGCATACACGCGTATATTCTAGCGCCCGCGTTCGTTCATTCCACGGGTGAATGCCTCAACACATAGTGCTCCTCGAACAGGAAATGTGTACACTACGGGTGGGAGGAGTACTCTGGTACACCTTGCTGAGCAAGTGAGAGGAGGGGAGGGCAAAAAATGTAATACGTGATGGAGCGAGAAGTTAATTCTTCACAGGAAGGCCTAGTGCAAGGGCAATTGTTCGCTTAGCCTACTGATGCGACTACTGCTTAACCTGTGGCTACCTTACCAACTGCATCTCAAATGAACGTTCGTACATATGGTAGAGTGCGATGCGTCATTCGGTTCGAGGGGGCAGGCGTTCGTGCTCCCCGTAGACTTATGCAATGCATAACATACGTATCGCCCACACAAATGGTGAACACCGGGTGAAAACTTTATTCACGTAATTGGCGCTTCACCCGATAGGCCAAAGAGCATAACGCGCCAAAGGAGATGCGCTGGCGGAAACACACGTTGCAGTGAAATATACAACTAGGGTAAAAAAAAAGAAAACGAAAAACTACGTACAGTGCGCCGTTCTCACCCCCGCGTCGGAATACACGAGTAGGCACAGGTATATATGTACATATGTTCATATACGGCTATGCCTGGGTAGGCCTATCCATCCCCTTTTCGCGATTGCTCTTGTTCGAGTAGCCAGGGACCGGCGGTGTACAAACAATACAGCGAAATATTCTTCCACGCAAATGTACACCTTTATGTGTTATTATTTTTTTTTTTTAATCACAAAATGGATGACACGGGGGCAACTAATGTACAGATATGTCGACATGCACAAGGTACACTTCTTCATTTAATCTAATTAAGAACGGGAAGAAAAAAATAATAAAAAATAAAAAAAATAATAAAAAATAAAAAAAAAAATATAAAAATAAAATAAAATATAAAAATAAAAAAAAATAAATAAATAAAACAAAATAATAAAAATAAAAATGGCCTTATGTGTACGTTGCAGATTAATTAACAGCGCCAGACGGTGAGTTCTCCGGTCATTTTCTTTTTCCACTACAAACCTCGAATACTGGGTGGTTCGCAAATGAGTATCAATAAAAGGGAAAAACAAGTGGTTGAAAAAGGATTTGTAGATGGCCGTGTACCACTGTGGCTGTTCTAATTAGGTACAAGTGTAAATGTAAAATGCTACGCGAGGTCGTACGTGGTTACAATAGTGCAATTGACCCAGGTATAACACTCATGCAGATTTGTGAACAGGGGCATGCAAAGCGTCTGTGGCTACCCACCGTGAATCTTAACTTGCGCTTTCTAACTTTAGACCAAATGGAGAAAAGACACAAGGAGTAATGAACATATTGCGCGTGCAACGAAATGGGATGTACGCGGGGTATACTGTGTGTAAATGGATGTGACCATACCTATGGATGCCTAAATAGGTAAGTAAGTATCCACATCCGCGTGCACGAATATATACCCCTACACGAAGTGGTGACTTATACATGGGACGTGGCTCCAAACGCCTAATCT